ACATGTACTGGTATGTGTTCCCCTTCTGACTCTTCTTCTCCTGTCCACAGTTATTTCAATATTTGCATTGCACCTGATACTGTTCTTCCATAGAGTAATTCAAAGGATGAAAATCCTGTACTTGTTTGTAGGATTTCTCATTAAGCAAATAATACTGCCTTCAGGTACCTGTCCCAGTCATGTGGTTTCTTTGGCATATCTTCTTCAGTATGCTATTTAACACTCCAGTGACTCTCCCTCAAAGTCTATTACATCTAGGGTTGTACAGGGTGGTAAGGGGCTGCCTAGTGCTGATGAGTCTTGCATAAGTTCTGAGGTAAATTGCATCCCTCTGTCACTTAAGACTTCTTCTGGAAAGCCTACTGTACAGAACACTTCCAGGAGGGCTTCTACTACTCTCTTTGTCTCTATCTTTGGCAATGCTATGGCTTCTGGGTAACATGTTGCTAGTCAACTATTGTCAGCATGTATTGTTGCTCTTGTCAGATACAGGTATTAGTGGTCTGATCAAGTCCACAGCTACTCTGCTGAATGGCTCTTCTATGAGAAGCACCTTACCCAGTGGCATCTTGGCTACCTTCCTTCTAGGTATTGTCCTTTGGCAGATGTCACGTGACCTGCAAAATCTGGTCACATATTCGAAGACCCCAGGTCAACGGAAGTTGCTGGTGATTCTGTCTGCCATCTTCTTTGCTCCTAGGTGTCCTTCCACAATTGATTCATCAAGTTCATCATTTAAGTCCAGTATTCTGTTGGTACTATGATCTGTTTTATTTCCCCAGTACAACTGCCTTGATAGATCTGGTACAGCACTCCCTTCTGGTCCTCTATTCTGCAAATCCCTTTCCCCTTTGTATTGTGCTCAACTTTCCCCCAGGCACTGTTCCAAAGTTTCTGCAGTAAAGGGTTATTTCTCCTGTGCTTCCTTCAGTTACCATAGATCTACATTTGAGATATCTCCTTTTGAGACTAGCAGGGGCTTGGCGTTTTGCTTGCTTTTATTTTCTTGAGGTCTTGTGGTGACTGCAGATGCCTCATCAGTCTCATTTCTTTCTGATTCCTCCAAACTTCTACTGCCTGATATAATGCCAATCACCAAGCCATAGTTGGGTACCTCCTCCATACACATGACCTAAAGGTCTCCCACGTAGTTTGGAATATCCACCTTTATTCTTGCTATGGGAAATTTTCTCACTGTCCCATCAATCAGCACACACAGAGGTACTTTGTCCATCATCTGTTCATCAGATACTAGACTGGTTATCATTGCTGCACCCCGTGTCTCATAGTACTTTCACTTTCTTGTCCCCATCATAGTCTTCACCTATTAGCATGTTGTGGTTTGTTGACACCTCTTGATGTTTGTCACATGGTCTGATCACCACCAGCACTTTTGACCCATTTGCTAACTTGAGCTAACCATCAATCATGCACTGTTTAATTATGGCGATAGTACTTCCTTCTGTGGTGAATCTGACAAGTTGTCTCTATTCGGTTTCTTATGGTAGCCACATTCATGGTGACAGTCACTCTTTTCTTGTTTCTTGCCAACACCATCTTTGTAGGTAGCTCCAGCTGTTTTCTATTGAGATTTCTGCTATCGCTAGTTGGTGATAAACTTGCACTTACTTGCAACGTGTCCCATTTTATAACAAGCATAGTATCTCTTCTTCCTTTTGTTGACTTCTTATCACCTTTTCTGACATCCTACTTCTGACAGCCAGCCCTGGTTTCAACCTTGATTGGTTATTTGTGGACTTGCCAGTTATACTCCCTCCATGGGTTTCCATATACTGTTCTGCCAGTTTGATAATCTTGTTCATGCCTTTCAGTGCTCTCTCCTTCAGGAACAGTGACATGTCAGTGGGACACGTTATCAGGAACTGTTCAAGTACTAGTAGATCTGCCAGTCCTTCAAAACTATCTTCACACTTGGCCATGTCAGTCCATCTTGTGCAGCATCACCGTAGATGTGCCACAAACTGAAATACAGTTTCTACAGTGTAAAGTTTGACTTCTCTGAACTTCTGACAAAAATATTCCTCAGTAAGTATATAGCATTGCAGCAAGGCCACTTTTAATTTGTCACAGTCCATGGCATCTTCTGATGTCATGCCAGCATACACTTGTAGGCCTTTTCCTGTGAGAGGTGGGCTGAGACAGACTGCCCAATCACCTCTGTTCCAGTTCTGACTTTGTTCAAATCTTTCATCTCTCTCCACAAGTCCTTCATCTTTTTGTTGGGTGAGCTTAACAATCTCAATTTTTGCTCTTATTCTCTCTATTTTCAGTCTCTCTCTCCTTTTCTTTGAGCCCAGGACCAAGTCAGTCTCCATTCTCTATCCGGTTGACATGGTTGTATAGTATAGTTGTAATCTCTACGATATTTTCACCACCACTACAGTTATGTGTAAATAGGCTTACTTCACCTGCTGTTGTTTACGTCTACTGCCATATACCACTGTAACATCCTGACTGGCTCACCAATGTCAGGTTTTTATATATGTATGTATGCATGGGCCAGGTTCTTTACAGTTGGTGTCTGTGACTTGTTGGTGATAAATTTCAACAGTTAACAAACAGCACACAATCCACTTGTTTTAAAATAATATATTAAAACAAGTCAAACATATGTCAAACAAATGCTCGTTACCACATTGTATCCAGAGCTATAAATAATTCTCTCTTTTTGTCAAAACTCCACACAGGTTTGTTCACTTACTTTAGAACACAACTGACCAGATAACTTATTCTTCTCTACTCTGTTGTTATAATACAATCTGTGATAATTTCACTTTAAAATCACCATTTTAATTATTGGTTACCACAGTTGTATCCAGAGCTTTATATAATTCTATCATTTTCAAATTCCACACAGGCTGGTTCAATTACTTTAGAACACAATTGACAAGACAAATTATTTTTCTATACTTTGTTACTACAATACAATTTGTGATAATTCACTTTAAAAATCGCCACTTTATGCTTTTTATGACTAAACTCACAATCACACAGTCTAGATCTAACTATCAATCTAATTATGTTTCTATCTATCCTCTATATATATGTATATATATATATATATATATATATATATATATACATGACAGCAGTCTCAAACATTCCACATGCTACTAGAGATTACAATGCAAGAATACTCAATTAAAGCAATGAGAAAAATTCAGAAGATTTGAGTAACATGACATCAAATCACAATAATCAAACTACACAATGTGTGATTCGTACACAGTTATGTAAACAAACCTGCAAGAAAGTATCGCTTCTAAAAATACTATATATATTATCTAGAACTGCAAGCCAGATCATCAATACACAAGCAAAAGGTTATATAGTACTGTAAGCCAAGCCCATAAGTAAAGAAGGACAAGGTTGTCTGATTTTTTTATTTTATTTACAGCTTAGTAAAGTACTAAATGAAACATTAGGTTACAACTAATCTCTATATGGCATGACAACTGCTTTTTGTACAGGCATTTATTTTGATGTTTTGTTATATTTTAAAATTTTAAAAAGGCAGTGTTAATTTATCTTCTGTGTTATTTTGGACAAACAAATTCTCCAGATTGTGTTTAAGTTTCTTATAAATTATTACAAATAGCTGTGTGTATATGCATTTTCTACATATAACTTAAATACAGATTTTTTCTACTACTACTTAATTTCAAAACTATTTAGTCTGATTCTGCAGAAAAACTTCTAAATCTACATAACTATTTCAGATTAAGGACAAAATTGCAAACCATTATTTCTTCTCATGTAATTGGGCAGAAATAGCAAAATGCCAGTGACAATACAGAACCCACCCATGTTTTTTTCATGATATTGAGTGGATTCTGCTACAATACGTGCAGTAGTGGAAATAAATATGGAAATTAGTAACAAAAATTGGTACAAACAATGTAATGCACACGCCATGCTCTCCACTTTATAGATAAGACAGTTGCCAACAATATAGTAGAGCATTTACATAGATGTAGTACTCTTTGACTGGTTGCCATGAAACCAATCAGACAGTAGCACACCAGCTTACTGGCTACATAATCATGAATTCCACTTCCCCAGTTTGTGCTGAATAAGGCACAACCTCCAGGAAGGAAATACCTCAAGACTAGTGTGTATCAGCTACTATTTTGGATGGTGAAAGTTATTCCATGTTACCAACTGAAGCAAAGTTGTGTATCAAAACAAAAAAAATGTATATTGCATAGTGTCACTAGTTGACCAATGTCCAATTTTATGTTAGTTTAAATTCACTCTTCCTGACAAAAATAATTTCAGAAGTTGGTTTTTCAGCAGGATAATAATCCCAAGCAAAGGATAAACATGATAAAAACCTACTAGTAGACGAAAGAGACAACTGGAAAAGTACAACTCTTGCCTCGCCTGACCAGTTTTGAGATCTGAGGGAATTATAACCTATGTGGATAAAAAGGAGGTTAAAAGGCTGCAAAGCAACCCGTGGAATTGTACAAAAATGCTAAAAGGTATTTAAAAGAACATACCATGCACTTACAGCACTAAGACAGCATACCAAGGTTTTTGCTCTGATAAAACCGAGAGCATAGCACTTACACATGAAATACTAACACATTCAGCTACACATTTCTATGTTATGATTATGGTAAAAAGATAAGAGAACAAATGACTTACACATGAAATACTAATGTATTCAGTTAAATAGTTGTATTCTGTGATTATGGTTTGTCCTATTTTAAGTCTATAGATGTAATTTAGCTACTCTGATTCTATGATATTAATCGTTCTTCTGTAATACAATTTTTTTTCATCAATGTATCCATATTTATTTCCATTATTGTATGCATATATCATTTAATTTTCGAAGATGAAAAATAAATACTTTGAATTTCTTTCAGGTGAAGAAATTCTTAGGTTTTGTACTTATTCAATTTAAGATGGAGAAAACAATTTTAGTTGAACCTGGACACTAAAAATAAATATTTAGGATAGCTTCTAAGTACCTTCCCAAAGCTCCGATTCACTGTAATCATCTGAGGTGCGAGAATCATCATCTGTTGAAAATATTAAAAAATTTTCTTTCATATGCATGTACTTTATTCTTGCTACTCAAACAAAGATTATTTTATCAACTTATTTCTTATTTCAAATTTAACCAAACTAGTATGTTATCATTTTAAGTAAAAACACAAACTATATTTCTGACAGGTACTTACTTCTGCTCACATATATAGCTATTCTCATTCAGTTCTGAACCCTATTTGCAAAATTATTTTGCATGACACAAGCCTTTCACTCCTGTGTACCCCTTGGTTCACATGGTTTAACCCATTCATGCATGTACATCATCATGTGACAAACCTCCACCTATAGATGTGCCCCACACACACATGTGACTCCATCTATGCTATTCTACTTAACTATCACTTCAAGATTAAGCAGCAAACTAAGCACTGGTGGACAGTGGGGACAAAGGGTGGGAAGTGTGAGCAGAAGTAAAACCTGTCGGAAATACATTTTCAATGTTGGAAAATTATAATTTCCGACAAGGCACCTTACTTCCGCTCACACATATATAGCTAAACTTCCACATTGAATTGGTTGTGGGTCCGGTGCAAGAGAAAACACAGAATCATCCAAAGCACACCCTCAAGAGGGAACCCTCTAGGAAGAAGATGATACGTGGAGGACTTCAACGTTTCTGTACCAGGTATACTCTTCTCCCAAATGTGGAAAAGGTGAGACTGGTCTGGGTGGTCAAATTTGAGAAGCACAATCCAATGTGGTTAAAAGAAGGGATGTACCCCAAGGTGTAGAGTGGCTAGGACGTGATGGATTGTACATGGACAGTCAAATGTGTCCAAAACTCGACTGCTGGGAATCAACATCCATACGGGGGTAGGATGAGGATTATATCGTCAGTAAGTCAACTAGAATACAAAACTCAACTGCCAAGAACCTACATCCATGCGGAGGTAGGAAAGGGGATCATAACATCTTCACCTCAAGTTCAACCAACTGGAGGGAGAAATCCCTCTACTGGTCTGTGAACAGGGCACATGTGAGCAGAATGATGTATATATATATCCCCATCAAATCAAATTGACCAGAACCACCCTAAATGTAGTAACACCCTCAGCATAAAGACATTGAGGGGGTAGCACAAGAGGAAGAAGCAAAGCAATTACCAAGTGCACACTCAACACGTCTGAGGACTTATGTTGATAGGTTCAGCTCTAAATCCATAACTCAATTGCCAGGAACCAACTTCCATGCAGGGGCAGGTTGAGGGATCCCAATCATTTCTACACCAGCTGAACACCACCCCCCTACTCTCAACTGAATAGGCATTATTTTTTATATTGTATATCTCTCATTCAAGTGGATATCTCCATGGTCCACCTCCCAAGTGGCTTGGAACTGGAAAGCAGTAAGGACTCTCTTACTCCACTGGAACAAACAGAGGGAAAAAATGCATTGAAGAGTCCAGAGGAACAACTACACTGTAGACAGTGCAATGAGTGACCATGAAACCCTATATCAAAAAGCAAACCAAACCAAACCCAATATATTAAATCTAAGGAATGGCAGGAATGAGCAGCTATCCCCTTCTGTTTTACCCATGAAGTCCATTGGTGAGTACGGTCCAGAACAGACATATTTATGAAGCAAATATATTTCGAGGAATAACCTACGAGTGATCTCGTAGTGATCATGATTTTAATGAACAGTGTGTGTTTTGTGGCTATGAAAATTATGAAAATGAAGTCAACATGGCCTTAAAGTGCAGGTTTCAATACAATTCTAAGTGATGAATGTATACCTGGACAGGCACCACTCACCACAGAGCAGGATCCTAGGTAAACATGGGATAGGCCCCTGAAAAATAATATATATATATATATATATATATATAAACAAAAGAAGCTGCTA